GATTCTTATGACACTAAAGTTCATTCAAAATGATCTCCGTGATTTTGAATACAGGCCTTCAATCTGCGCGGCCAGTCGTCTATCGCAGCACGAACGAGGTCCATGTCAATATCGGCTACTGCCTAAATCAAGGATGTCTTGAGTTACTCCAAATTGGGATGAGGCTTTGAGCACGCCTTTTCCTCCAAGTGTTGCCATATCTTGTAATCTAACGGATTCAAATCTGGACTGGAGGAGGGCCAGTCTTCGTGCCGGATGAAGTCGATTTCACGCGCCGCCAGTCAGTCTTGTGTGCTCTTCGCTCTATGAGCTAGCGCCGAATCTTGTTGGAATACCCAGTGCCTGTTATTGAACATGGTATGAGAAACAGGTTCCACAAGGTTCGTCAGGACTGTATTTTGATACACAACTGCATTCGTTTTTACACCTTTCTCACAAAAATGTACCTCTGTTAAGCCCCAATAAGAAACTCCCAACCATACCATGAGCGAGGATGGAAAATGACCTCGTTGGACACGCGGAATACGGTTGCTCGCTTCTTCACTACTGTGTGCGTACACCTTATCATTTTGTTTGTTGTAGCTCTCTTCTACGGTAAAAAATTTTTCATCCGAAAAAAGAATTTCCCGATATTTTTTTCCCGCGTACCGCTTCAACAAAGCGCGGCATCTCTTCAGTCTCAGGTCCATTAGACGAGCATTCAAACGATGTCCTGTTTTTCTTCGATATGCCCGAAGCCCTAAGTCTTCATTTAACACCCTTTTCACCGTGGTTCTGCTTAACCCCATCTGAAGGGCCAACAGTTTCTGCTTACGTTTGGGATTTCTTTAAATTCGCGCCTTCACAGCTTTTATCACTGCTGGAGTCCTAACAACCCGAGGGCGACCACTTCTTGACCTCTCAACTACACTAGAGTCTTCATTGTATCGTTTGATGGTACGATAAACGAATCTTTTGGTTATATTCAAATTTTTCAGTATGTTAAAAATTTGAATTGGCGCTTAACCGCAACGATGCAACGCAATAACTGCAACACGATCTTCTTTAAGCGTCCACTCCATATTTAAAAATGAGTAAAATTCTAAAAGTATACATTTTTATTTTCATGAACAATTCGAATTTCGAATTCAATAAACTTTTTTGTGGCCAGCATTCTAAAAGAAAAGTTTTTACTATGTGACAATACTTATGACCTGACTAGGTATATATATAGAAAAATGAGATAATATTGATTTCTAAATTTTATCTCCTGTAAAGTTGCAAAAATGTCGCTTAAACGGAACCTTTTACCCCTTGATAGACTTTGTGAAATGATTTTCGTTACAAAAACGAACATAGATCTATTTTGATATATATCTATTCTTTACGTTCAGCAACGATTCTGGCGTGCAATATCGATTAGAAATGGCATTTGTTTAAAGCAAGTAGTTCACATGTGTATCAACAAACGTTGGTCAGTCCTCAACTCGATCGCTTTTCTTCCACAAGGCTAGATCTCTATGAGAATGAGTGCTCTGAGGAATTATTCGATTTTACCATTGCACCTCCCGCCACCGGAGTAGAGTTCATCCGTACTACCTGGAGCCACTGCGGTCATCCACAGTGCGTTTCCAGAGGTCTTTTTTGCCACGTACCATCCGGCTATGGGATGAGCTTCCCTCCACGGTGTTTCCCGAGCGCTATGACATGGACATGTCCTTCTTCAAACGAGGCTTGTTGAGAGTATTAAGCGGTAGGCAGCGGCTTGGCTCTGCCCCTGGCATTGCTGAAGTCCATGGGCGACGGTAACCACTCACCATCAGGTGGGCCGTAAGCTCGTCTGTCTATAACTACAAGGGCAATAAAAAAAAAAGAGAATGGAGTTCGAAAATAAGTGGTGTGACCACATTTAAATGCGACGTGGATTCGTTGCATTCCCGAAATCTTATTCGGCTTGAACTCATCTTTCGCGAACACAAATCTACGTCAAAATTCATTAACACAGTCGAGCTTTCGATTTCTCATAGTCCTTAATAGCGGTGAATATTCAACGACTTGACAATGCTGTCGTAATTTCCGCCATGACGGTACGCGACCCAAATAAAAACCTTATACTGAGATTAATGAGATAAGGCGTAATCTAGAGCCGTTTGGTAATTTTCCTGTAACTGGCTTTAATGGGCTAAAAAATTAAGCGTTGCGTCGTGTGGACCGTTTTTATCGGACAAAAAACGTTTGAGTTAGAAAATGAAGATGCATTAAAAACAAGAAGTTTATCTATATATTAATACGTGAAGCAAAAACTTTGTATCCCTTTTTACGAAAATTGCGCGGACGGAGGAGTATGAAATTTCTCACACTTATAGAGAATATAGAGAAGGAGTGCACAATGCTAATATTTTTTTAAAATAATGCTTATAAGATACTTTAAATCAATAAAGAAAACATTACCTACACTACCATGTATTTGACACAACACATACAAAAAATATACTCTTTGTTTACTGTCAATTGGGAAACTTTTGTTATTGTTTAGAGTCTGTGGTCGAATTGAAAATAGATTAATATTGTTTATCTTTAATATTATTGATCTATAGTGCAGTTTTGGCGAATACTGTGATTATATTATCGAATTATAATAGTGTTTGACAATATAACCATAATAATGTTCAAACTTATAATTTCAATTAATTATAGTCGAATCTCGACTACTGCGGGGCCACTAGTAGGTTTTTAATTTAAAATTCTATTTTATGAACATCAAATTCATGACTTGAAGACATTTAATTGATATGTGTTTGTTGCGTTTTCCTCTTTTTTTTGTGTATTTTTACATTTGTTAATTTTAATAGAATAATAAAATAAAATCTGACCTTGAATTCGATGATGAAATTGAATTTGATGTTTACAAAACTGAATTTGGTGATTTTTTCAAATTAAATTTTAAGTTAACAACCTATATAAAAAAATAGATGTCTATGGGCTCCGGTAACCACTTAACACCAGGTGGGTTGTGAGCTTGTCCACAAAAAAAAAACACAAATCTACGCAATAAGAAAATCTACATCCACATCCACAATTTGTTTTTTTTTTCTTAGATGTGTGGACGAGCTCACAGCCCACCTGGTGTTAAGTGGTTACTGGAGCCCATAGACATCTACAACGTAAATGCGCCACCCACCTTGAGATATAAGTTCTAAGGTCTCAAGTAGAGTTACAATATCTTATACTATAATACGTAAAGAAAAAACTTTGTATACCTTTTTACGAAAATTGCGTGGACGGAGGAGTATAAAATTTCCCACACTTACAGAGAAAATAGAGAGGGAATGCAGAATGCTAATATTGTCTTTTAAATTATACATTAAATCAATAAAAAAACATTATATAATATCTATACATATACATATACATACATATACATACATAATATCTATAAATATTGTTTGTCTTTGTTAATATTTTTTTATAGTGTACTCTTGGCGAAATTTGTGTGTGTTTATAGAAGTATAAAATACAATCATAATAGTGTACAAACTTACAATTCCAATTAATTATAGTCGAATTTCGACTACTGCGGGATCTCTAGTTTATCTAAAAACTATCTGCGTAATATTAGAACGACGACACACAGTTCACGATTGAAAGCGAGCGACCGCTTCGAATCCAACGAACGCATTCCTGGGCGTAGTAAATTGATTCAGTCTAGAATTTAGATTGATAGTCCGATGTGAACGAACTTGCAACGATTTAAAAATGTTTATGTGTATATATCAAGCCTATCCTATGTTAGGCGGGGTGCATGGACAACACGAGGTGAATGCCGAATCACGTTGGATGTTTTTTTTGTTGTATAGTCACCTTCAAGGCAAATTGTGATTAACAGCTTGTACGAGCTTACAGAACTTTCTACTTCTTCTTCTTATCAGCCCACAGAGGTCCATTGCTGGACATAGGCCTCCCCCAAGCCTCGCCACAAAGACAGGTCCTGCGCTACCTGCATCCAACGGATCCCCGCGAACCTCGATAGATCATCGGTCCATTTTGTGGGAGGCCTACCCACGCTACGTCTTCCGGTACGTGGTCGCCACTCCAGAACTTTCTGACCCCAACGGCCATCCGTTCTACGAGCAATCTGTCCTGCCCACTGCCACTTCAACGTCGCAATCGTTTGGGCTATGTCGGTTACCATGGTTTTCCTGCGAATCTTCTACTACTGATATCGAATTACACAAATTGAATTCCATTACAGAATCCTCCGTAGTCATAAACCGGCTGTGTGCACGGATAGTGTGATGATTATCCTTGGTTCTGTGTACCAATTTTTGTAAGGAAATACAGATTTGATAAGTTGATAACTTCATTGATAACTTCGAAGGATTAGCAGCGTTGCAGCTTATAAGCCCCCACGAATACGTACTCCCACCCTGTCAATTTCAGCCGTGAAGCAGTAACGCGTTCCGGTTTGAAGGGTGGGGCAGGCGTTATACTACAAAAACTGAGATTCAGAAATCAAGTCTGAAAGTGCGTATTTTACACGGCATTTACGTGTTTGAAGTCCACAGGCACCAGTAATCAGCAATTCAGAAAAAAAACTACTCAATTTTTTTACGTAAATCTGTAAGGTCACGGTCCTTCGAGTTGGCAACTTGACAATGCCCATGCCATTATCAGCGTCTATAAGCAACAGTAATCACTTACTTAACCCCTATACTTGTTTTTTTTTATTGCTTTGATTGGTGGACGAGCTCACAGCCCACCTGGTGTTAAGTGGTTACTGGAGCCCATAAACATCTACAACGTAAATGCGCCACCCACCTTGTGGCATAAGTTCTAAGGTATCAAGTATAGTTAGTTACATTGGCTGCCCCACCCTTCAAACCGAAACGCATTGCTGCTTTACGGCAGAAATAGGCGGGGTGGTAGTACCTATCCGCACGGACTCACAAGTGGTTCTACCACCAGTAAGAATGTTATCAATAACATAACTTGAGCATTTTAAAAGTTTAAAGTTATCTCACCTGGAGAAACGTGTCATCTTTACTCTGTTCTGGCTTAGTGAACTCGGCGTGCAGGACTGAGGGCTTCCCCCCCACGGGCAGGGTGGCGTCATGCTGCCAACGCTCGTCTTGCTTGAAGCCAGGGTTGTCAAACGCGAATTCATCCTTCACCGATTCCGGATCCGTTGAGAAGACCAGATGCTTGCCTGTTGACAAAATATTGATGTTCAAGGTATGTAGTTTAGAAAATATGCAATGTTGCATATTGCAATATAACGCGTTTATGTGCGATGTCGGGCGACGCTCCTGCGAGGACAGTCTTTCGCCTACCGCCACCTAAGCAAGGTGTCCAATAAATGTCTAATATATCATCAGTATTTTATTGAAGAACCCAACCAATTTTTTTTTTTGCTCTTGTGGCAGACGAGCATACGGCCCACCTGATGGTGAGTTGTTACCGTCGCCCATGGACTTCAGCAATGCCAGGGGCAGGGCCTAGCCACTGCCTACCGCTTAATACTCTCCACAAGCCTCGTTTGAAGAAGGACATGTCATAGCGCTCGGGAAACACCGTGGAGGGGAGCTCATTCCATAGCCGGATGGTACGTGGCAAAAAATACCTCTGGAAACGCACTGTGGATGACCCAGAGGCTCCAGGTAGTATGGATGAACTCTACTCCGGTGGCGGGAGGTGCGATGGTAAAAACGAGATGCCGGTATCATCTCGAACAATTCCACTAAAAATTCCAACACCTGTCACCGTGTTTGTCGAACTCGTCGATTACGACGAGCGGACTAACCCATAGACACAGCCCATTGAGTTTCTCGCCGGATCCTCTCAGTGAGTCTCGATTCGGTGGTAGATTCTGCGAAGCACTGCTCTTGCTAAGGCTAGTGTTAGCAAATTCTCTCAGGTTGAGCCCGTGAGCTCACCTACTTGCCCGGGCGTAGCTCAAATAGTCTCTTAGGGTACCAGCGAATGGGTAGGGGGATAAAAGCGAAAGATTTTTGGTGTCTTATTCACTACCTCCGTTTGTGGTTGTCCTATTTGTATTTTTTTTTTGTATTTTAACAAACACAAAAATTCACATTATCAAATACAAATAAAGAATAAATTTCCTATTATAAAACAAATTCTTATATCTAAAATCTTGAACAAAACTGCGATACGTCCTACTACTACACACAGTGATCTATGTGCGTATGTATAATCTTTATGTACCAAGTTGTTAAATTGACTACAGAAGATGTTATATTCCTCCCGCGTAACCGGGCTATTTTTACGTACACAGTGCAAATTACTTGACGTAGCTTTAATTTCTGTAAGCACAATGTTTTTAATTGGTATAAGTAAAGTTGGCTATTAGTACGTTGACATAATTTGCACGGTTGGTATAATGAATATTGAGAAATGTATATTGTGAAAAATTATGACTAAGCAACATTTTGCTTAATACGCGACATTTATCTTTTTTTTTTTATTGCTTAGATGGGTGGACGAGCTCACAGCGCACCTGGTGTTAAGTGGTTACTAGAGCCCATAGACGTCTACAACGTAAATGCGCCACCCAACTTGAGATATAAGTTCGAAGGTCTCTTTGTAATTAAAGGTCCGTTTTATTTGGTATCAACTTACAACAATTCGATGTTTTTAATTGAACTTCTATTAAGTTTAGCCCATTCAAACAGATAAAGAAGTTTTTTGTTATGATATTTTTGTCTAAATTTTAAACTTTAAGTGCTTCTCTCCTGTAAAGTTGCAAAAATGTCGCTTAAACCAATGAAAGGCTTTTCACCCCTTTTCACTTTTGAAGTCGTCGTGACCTAAAGGATAAGACGTCCGGCGCATTCGTATCTAGCGATGCAGCGGTGTTCGAATCCCGCAGGCGGGTACCAATTTTTCTGATGAAGTACGTACTTAACAAATGATTGATGAGATTGACTTCCACGGTGAAGGAATAACATCGTGTAATAAAAATAAAAAAAACCCGCAAAATTATAATTTGTGTAATTACTGGTGGTAGGACCTCTTGTGAATCCGCACGGGCAGGTACCACCGCCCTGCCTATTTCTGCCGTGAAGCAGTAATGCGTTTCGGTTTGAAGGGCGAGGTTGCTGTTGTACTGTAAGCACTGAGACTTTAGAACTCATGTCTCGAGGTAGGTGACAGCATTTACGTTATTGATGTCACCCATATAAGCAATAAAATAATAATAAAAATAATTAATTTACTTTTACGGTTGAAACTCGCCTTTATCATTTTCTATGCAATTTTTCGATGTCACGAAAACTGCATATAATCTTTTGACTCTTATAATAATATATTAATTATAATTATTATAATAGTAAATATCCCAATAAAGTTAACTGACAAATATTAATACGACGAACAAGAAAATTTTGCTTTGAATGACTGTTTTTAATTTAAACTACGTAAGAAGTGAAATCATTAGACCGAGTACACAAGACGCGTAATCACCGCCGCGATCCGTTGCATCGCGTGTAATCCGAGCTTAAAACAAGGTCACCTGTTAGCTTAAGTCTCTTTCACATTAATTTAAATCTAAATTTCAAAATATATTTCAATTTCAATTTTTTTTACTTTTACTACACATTGGCAGATGAGGTCGCTGTCTACTCTTGATGGTATTCTTGTGGTCGCCGTCAAACGAACTAACCCATAGACACAGCCCACTGAGTTTCTCGCCGGATCTTCTCAGTGGGTCGCGTTTCCGATTCGGTGGTAGTCTGTGAAGCCCTGCTCTTGCTAGGGCTAATGTTAGCAAATTCTCTCAGGTTGAGCCCGTGAGCTTACTTACCCGTCTGGGCGTAGCTGGAATAGCCCCGTGGACTACCAGCGAATAGGTAGGAGAAAATGGTATTCATGTCGTATACATCATTTTTAAATGCAAATCATGGTCTTACGGTGGACAGCGGCTTGTCTGTGCCCTTGGCATTGTTGAGGTCCATTAACGACGACGGTAATACTCACAATCAAGTGGGTCGTATGCTCGTATGCTTAAAATCGCAAAATTAATAAATAAAAGTATCTATCTACTTAAGTTCAGTGTTTGACATTCCGCCACTCACCCCGAAATATACATTCGAGTCTCAATTACAAATTGAAACGGCGCTCCCACGTTTAGAATGATTCGGCGATTTTTTTTTATCTCGTAGTAAAAACGCAGCGTTTCTCGATTCATTATGAAGGTTCCTTTACTTTTGTTAACGCCAACAATAATTGATTCGATAACAATTGTTACGCGAATCGTAAATACATCAAACTATTTTTATTAGATCAATTATTGTCGATTTAATTTTTGATTTCTCTAAGCTTTTGGTAACCTTGAGACATGAGGACGAACCCCCAAATGCATTGCAATAACGGTTTTCAAACCCTTCAAAGCTAATCACGTTATATTATAGTTTTTTTTTTTAATTGTAGATGACCAGATTTGTACACGAGTTATTTTTTCAACACGCAATGTAAGGCGATTGTATGTAAACTGTCGTGCGGGTTAACGACCTTGTGCAATCGCGAGGGGTAGTCGCCGCTTACGCTATATTACGTGTTCACGAAACAGTCAAAAATGTAGCCATGCGGCCTCCATTCGTTGTGAATTATCGTAACTTTTAAGCTTGTTATAAGAAGAACGTTTTTTTTTTTTATATTTGACGGATTACTGGTGGCCCAGACGACTTTCCAGTTTCACCAGGACATGTGGGTGAGCAAGGGCTGGGAGCAAGTGAGCAAGTCAGGAGGGGTGGGATTTGCTAACAGCTACCCGAGCGTCTCCAAAGGAGACCTAACAACTCAAGAGTAACTGCTTCGTGATTTAATCTACTACCGGACCGGAATCGCGACCCGCTGAGAAGATCCGGCGAGAAACTCAGCGGGCTGATGTATAGGTTAAGTTGCATGTCGAAATCGAGTTTGTCTTTGTCGATTGGATAATTATTTTTTTGTTGTTTGTTATAGGCAGACGGTTATTATGAAAAAAAAAATTAAGAAAACTTAACCACCATATACAATTTTGTAATATATAACGCCATAGGCGTTTGAGATAACATTGACAGAATGCGTGCTGCAAATATCAGGTTTATATAAAAGAAAACTCAATTAATCCATTAGAAATTTTAGTTCCCGAAGCGAAGCGAGGACGTGTCGCTAGTTTAATATAGTTTTTAGTTTACTTTAAGTCATTATTCTGTCCGCTTTTGCGGCTTTTGGGAAGGTTTATGCACACCCTGTAGGTAAGCTAGGTAAATATAATCATTATTATAGATTAGGTAGTGTGATTGTTTAATGTTTAATGTGATTTCCTTTGTGATTGTGATTTTTTTTTATTGCTTAGATGGATGGACGAGCTCACAGCCCACCTGGTATTAAGTGGTTACTGGAGCCCATAGACATCTACAACGTAAATGCGCCAACCACCTCGAGATATAAGTTCTAAGATCTCAGTATAGTTACAACGGCTACCCCACCCTTCGAACCGAAATGCATTACTGCTTCACGGCGGAAATAGGCGGGGTGGTGGTACCTACCCGTGTGGACTCCCAAGAGGTTCTACCACCAGTGATTACGCAAATTATAATTTTGCGAGTTTGATTTTTATTACACGTTGTTATTCCTTCACCGTGGAAGTCAATCGTGAACATTTGTTGAGTACGTATTTCATTAGAAAAATTGGTACCCGCCTGCGGGATTCGAACACCGGTGCATCGCTACATACGAATGCACCGGACGTCTTATCCTTTAGGCCACAACGACTTCAAAATGATTTATTGTTACTTCCTTACATTAAAAGTTAGACTGGTTTTCTTTATCGTGCTGTCTTGTCCTATAGTTTTAAGGAACAGTGTGTACTTAGCACATTTGTCCTGATTAGTTGTGCGCGCATTGCTTACGTTACAAGCCAAATTTTTTACTTGTTGTTATTTATTGTGTATCTTTTCTTTTTTAGCTTGTAATGTGTATTGTGTGCCTAATCTATACATATAAATAAAATTGGAGTTGTAATATTGAAATAACCGCTTTTTACTACGTGCATATGAATATATATACGGTACATACACCAAAATTACATTCTTTTAAATATTTGTCTGTTTGTCTGTTTGTTCCGGCTAATCTCTGGAACGACTGCACCAATTTTGACGAGATTTTCACCGATAGACAGCTGATGATCTAAAGAGTAACTTAGGT